CACAAATGGTTCTGACAGATGTACTCTAGAAGCCTTAAATGCTGTAGTTTAAGATGGTGCCAGCTGGTTGCTTCTCCCCACCCCTGAGATTGCAGTCTGTATGGAGGAGCTGGCAATACCTGCACCTCAGTTCACTTCCCTCACCTGAGCTCACATTCCTTTTAGGGGGTTATGTGCTGATGTGGAGGCTGGGAATCAGATCCTGAGTCCTGGGCACAGAACATACCCCCTTTTGTTGTCCTTTCTTGCAGCCTCCTAAACTGTGGCAGGAGATTAAGCACCTGGGTCAGCAACATCTTAAAGCCTCTCAGATACCCAGAGCTTGTTGAAGAGACTCCTCTGTGGTTTTGAGTTGAATAAGTTTAAAACTTTATTTTTTAAATTACCTATATTTTCAGTTTGTCACTGTATCAAGTCAGTGTGGAGGATATTTCCAAGCTTGGCTTTACCGTATCGCCACCTCTGCTTATACTCTGACTTTTGTCTGCTTTTAGAAGTGATCATGCCTAAAAGCTTATATTAAAAACCATAGATCTTTCTTTCATGTAATATGTATGCTATAGAAATTGTTTAGTAGGTGGTGTGTTGCTCTCATTGTGTGAGGAGTTGGTTACACTGCCTCCAATTAAGATTGCATCACTTACTTTACTGCTAGACCAGTTTTGTATTACTTAGACTCTTGCCAAAAGGAAATTGTTAACCTGAAGCAGTGGATTACTTATTTTGTTTTTGTGTCTTGGCTGTCAAAGTGAAAGCACAGTATATACCTAACATTTGGTTAGGTCCTTGATTTACTGTTACGCAACTAAAATTAATTTTAAAATTCGGACTGTACAGTAACAATAAAATGGATAAAGAGCTGCTGAGCTGCCAGCACTCAGAAGTAATGGCTGGGAGGCCACTGGCAATGGTTGAGAGCCTATGGGGACTTGTTCCAGCATTTGCATGAGGTGTGATGTGCTTGTTGTTTTGGTCAGTTGTCTGTGTGTAAACATACGAGCATAGTGGCAAAGGATGAGTAGTTCAGTGATTGCTGGATTGATGAAGAAAGGATGAAGTTTAAAGCACGGCTGAGATCATGTTAACATGAGTCTGTTAGAATGTAGTTCATGTGCCTGTGCCAAGGAACGAGGAAAGCTGGATGTGTGTGCAGAATGGAAAAGTCTTATCTTCTAGAGGTGCGGCTGAGGAAGGACTTAGAGGTTTGTGAGGAAGGTCCTGTAGACAAAGGGGACTCGAGTGCAGGGCAGTGTCAAGAATGTGCTGCCTAGGAGAGGTAGAAGCATAGTTTGAATAATAAGACCAGTGCAGGAATGTTGCATCTAGTTTTATTTCGATGGAAAACATGTCCTGAAAAATTTGAAAGCATGATGAAGGTCCTGAACAGAGTTCTGTTTGTAGAACTGCCCTTGGGAGGTGGGTTTGAGATTGGGTTCACGCTTGCCGTGGTGTTTCTGACCACACATCTACCTTACCTTGGCCAGCTCGGTTAGCTCTCCCTCCCACCTGGCTGCTGCAGGGGCCCTCCTGCATACCTACTGTTTAGTGTCCTAGGCAAGGCTATGCTGAATCTGTTTGAATTTGTCATTTCTTCCCTTTGCAGAGGACATGAAAAGTATTGTTTCTGTTTTGTTGTATATATATATATATATATATATATATATATATATATATATATGCAGAATGAAAAGCTTTAGATAATATGTTCTTTCAACAAATTTGAGTGTTATTTTAATGTGCTACTAAGAATTGCAGCAGCGAATAGTTTACTGTTTTTTTTTTATTCTGAAATAATGAAATGGTAAAAGCAAGGGTGGATGTTGCTTTCCTTGGAATTTTTTGACATGTTATTTAATTTATGAATGAATCTTCCTGTAATTTGGAATGAAAAGGTTAATAAAGCATTGTTAGATTGTTGCTTACTTTTTATTCTGAAAGATAGCATAATTTGAAAGCCTGGGTTATTTTGGTATCTTTCCGTGTACACAAAGCTAGAGACCAGCAGGCTAAACAGGAAGGGTGTTCTGGAAAAAATATTATAGAGGCAAAACCTATTGAAAAAAACTTGAAACTATTTTCATTTCAAGTACACCAGTGGGGTTAAATAATACTAATAACTTCTGTTAGAGTAACAGATCATAATAATTTAAAACTAAAGTTCCTGGCACACTTGCTAATATCTTTTATGGCTTCATTAAAATACATCTGAAATAATTTACAGAGCAAGGCTTCTGGGTGAATTCTTCCAGTTCTGCATGGGAAGAGTGCCTGTTTATCTTCATGCATGTTTATATAGATCCATGGAAATTATGATGTAAATGTGAATGCTGTACTAAAACATAGCCATATATGCAGGCTAAGGAATTCAAAGCATTTGTATTCTGTCATTTATTGCACACAAGTAATGTATATTGTATAGGCTTGGTTCAATTCTGTATCCTGACCATAGAAGGGCACTATAGAATATGTACTCCACCTTGAGGGGACCGTGAAGGGGAGGGAATAATGTGTGTAGGAAAAAGCCCAGGGTGATGACTCTCTTACCAAACTTGTCTCTTTCCTGGTTTTGAACCTTCACATTTACGCACGTTGCTGGAAGTAGTGAAGATCTGGAAGGGTGTTTCCCTTGTACAATACTGTTACACATTTTATTTACTCACCTTATTAAAATAAATATATAGGTCAGTGTGGAAACAACTGGGACAGCTGCAAAGCTGAGTGCATGGGATAAAGTCTTCTGAAAGGTAAAAGAGGTGGCAATTTAGCTTCATTTTCAGAGTTGACCCAGCTCTCCTTAAACTTTTATAGTTACTTACAGAGCTGTACAGCTGTTGATACAGTAGTGGCCAGACTGGGCAATTGTAGCAAGAAGGCAATAGACCTAGTTTCTTGTGATGTTAGTGTGTTCTTAAGAAAGCTAATCTGAACTCATTTAACTGTATGCTCTAGAAGGCTTTTCATTGTTGTATGTGATTTACAAGGCTAGATTTCAGGCAGTGCAATCACCTTCTCCTAATAAAACTTTATGGCAGAAGCACACATTGTGCTTTGACTCTAGCCAAGGGCATGTGCAAACCCCCTTGTCCTGGTTTGTCACCCGAGGACTCCCTAGTGCTTAGAGAGATGCACTCAGGCAATTGGAAATTTGAACAAATGGAGTGGATTGTCGTCTGCCATTTTATCTCAGGCTAGATTCCGTAAGAAATGCTCACAAACTGCTTTCCAAATGATGTCTTTTAGCAGTATTAAAACTCTCTTGTTTGTAACTGGTTTGTGGTATGGGAATCTCTCATCAGAGATATCTTTTAGGCCAGAAAAGGCCAACCTTTAATGCATTCAAATTCAGGATCTTAAAAAATGAGCCCTCTTCTAAAGCAGCCACCCATAAAAAAGTGTTAATTTTGTATTTTACTACTTTTTTATGGTAAATAATATTTCATTCATACTGAATGACTCAAAACAAAAGGAATACTTTTTTTAATGTTTCTATCTCAGTGTCATCCTTTCTTTTGGCATTCTTCTGGACAATGAACCCTGAAGCAAAATCTCTTCCTTATGACACACACCTGCGTGCTGTTCAGGAGCAGAGGGAAGAGATGGGGCTGTAGTCTCCTCCCACCCTGTTCCTATTAGTGGGAAGAGCCATGAAAAGAGCCCAAACAGGCATTTGCACAAATGGTTTCATCCAAGATCTTCAGCTGTTCACATGATGTTCTATTTCAACTGATAATTTTCTGCTGGTTGATGGGTTTTCATTTTGCTGCCTTTCTTCCCAGCTGCACTCCACAAATTTCTCTGCTTTAAAATGAGGCAAGGAAACAGTTTACCAGATTTTCTGATGATTATCAAAGCTTATTTTTTCATTTGGTGCATATAAAGGTTTTAGCCTGATTTTGATCCATTCATGTAATTCAATCTTTGTTCAAGGTTCCGATTGTAGATAGATATCAATGATCTTACACTCTCCTTTTTGCCCAAATACAACATAAAGCTCCCAAAGAGATGGTATCATGTAAGCTATTACTTTATTCTTTATCTTAAAAATCATGCCTTTAATGGGATCTCTAGGTAGTTTTCAGGAGAGCCAAGTCTTGAGCAATTTAGATAAAATCTGCAGAGAGTGTGCTTGGCCTATTGTTTTGAACAACCTGGGAAACTACTGAGCTGATGTTATTTACACCATATTAAACTTCTCACCCACTTATGGCCTAGTCCTTCAAAACCAAGTAGGACTTGGTTTTGAAAATGCAGCTGTTAACATCTATGGGTCTGTGTTCACTAAGGCTGACTATTAAGCTCATTATTAAGTGTTGTTGGGCTGAACTTTACATTTTTTCTGTTAACACTTAAGTTAGCTACTGGTTATCTACTGGTTTTTGTCTCAATTTAAAAGAAAGAAAGTACAAAAAAAGATACATCGCGTTAAGGCTGATTAAATGCATGCCAGCTTTATGTTCTGGTCTTTATGGGGAACATCTGCATCTGGATGCAGTTCTATGCCATGTGTTGCAGGAAGACCCTCCTCAGTCAGGGATGTTGGACCAGGTGACCCACTGTGGTCTCTTCTAACCTGACCGATTCTGTAATTTCTCTGTCTTTAATGAGCTGTTGAGGGAAAATGTAAGTACAAAACCTGTTGAAGGAAAATGTAAGTACAAAACCCACCAAATTAAAACTCCTTATACTTCATGTTTCTTCTGCCTGGTGACTAGACTAGGTGGTTTTTTTGGTTTTTTGTTTTTTTTTTTTTAAAGCTGAATTGCTTTCCTGAATGCTTAATACAGCATGTGAAACAACAAAAAAAAAAAGCCATAAAACTATTTTTCTTCATTTATAGATCAGCCTTTTTAATACTTATTGAGCTGCAGTAGCTTCAGAGAAAGGAAAAAAATGTGCATTTGTTCTGAATGCTGGATGGAGAGATTACCTGAAGTGGTGAGCTTCAATGGGCTCTTCTGAGAGCGAGCAGCGCTTTCAGGGCCCGGAGCATGCTTGCCACCATGGCTGATGAAAGAGGCGAAGGACGGGTCTTTCTCTGGAGATCTGAAAGCTTCTTATTACTTCAAAGGGACTCCAGGGACAAAGACAAACTTGGACTGCGGGCACAGGGTTTTATATGGGGAAAAGGAGTCGATCTGAGTGTCAAGGACCGGTGGGAACAGGTGAATGGGATGGGGTGGGGGGCAGCCAACCAGGGGAACCAATAGGGAAACAGGGGTGTGACACTGCAGCAAACTGGGACCGATGGGGATTGGGAGAGAACACAGAGAACACAAATATGTGAGAACGGGGGTTGAACTGGGGTGGAACAACTGTAGGAACCAATAGGACTTGAGACGTTACCATGTGCCTGCAGAGGCCTATGGGAGGGAGGCACTTCTGACCCTAATCTTAGAGGGGAGTTTCTCATTGCCTGCTTTGGCCTCCCCAGGGCTGAGGCATTATAGCTCTGGTGGCAAGCCCTTGGGCCTCCAGGATTATCCTTTAAGTCTTGTTGTACACCAGGTGTAGTAATGGAACTAATAATTTGGTTTTGCTGAAGTGTTACGATTAGGTTTATGTGGACTCAAGTATTATTTGCTGCTGTCATTTGTAGAGTGCTTTCAACTTTTGCAGGCTTCCTCAGGATAAGAAGGGAAGCACTCATTTGGCCATAAACATGGTGACCAGTTCTGGCAATTACTATGACTTGAAGTTGTATGATGGGACGTGGTGTGATAATACAGTGAAATATGTTAGAGAAGGGCACATTTGTCTGCCTGCCAGCTTTGTGCCTGCATGATGTATTTGTGACTGTTTTTTCTTCTGGTTTTCAGTTATTAAGATAATTTTATTTGCCAAGAGTTGGGTTTCTGCTTGAATGATAGGCATATTCAAGGAAAGTGGATATCAATGTTAGAATTAATGGAGAAAAATTAAGTGGTGACTTAACCTCACATGCTTTAAAAAGTTTGGATTTTTTATAAACAGTGTGAGCATGAAAAGAAAGGAAAAATTACAGCAGTTTCAAACTGTCTTGTTCTGATATATTACTTTAAAAAACTATTTCAGCTCTTAAATTATTTGCTCTGAAATATTTTGATTTTAGTAGTCTTAAGGTAAGGCAAGTGAAAAGAGAGGCATCATAGAAATAAAAGCATGATAAATATGAAATTGCTACCTGTTCCAATTATTTTGTGTGTTTGAATAACTTTAGAAGTTACAAGATTTATTTTCAATAAAGGTCACTACCCCATTTTGCAATACTGAAAACTTTGTGAATCCCTGTTCTCTGGATGGTTGAGAACTGTAGTTTAAGATGGATATACTAAAGGGAAGGATAATCCCTAAATACTTCTTCTCACTGGAGAAAGAAATCAGAATTTAATTTCCATCAAAACTGAGCCTAAGCTTAAAACTCTACAAATAAGAAATTAACAAGTGTGTGTAATTGAAGCATTCAGGCTTATAGCAAGGCCATGGCTTGTGGCAGTCCCAGGAAAGAAGTAGCATTTAGGAAAAATAGAACTTTTGTCAGTTCCCACAACTAAAGTGGGGAGAACAGAGGGCTTAATTTCTCATTTGAAGAAGGGAAAGTCACTCTCCCCTTGCTGTAACACCTAGGAGGGCAAAACAGTCTCCGAGACTTTGGAGTAAGACTTCGGTAAAACCATATGGGGACTCTGTTGCATTTAAGAATGGCAACTTTGTAACTTACTGGAAATGAAGTGCTTAGGCAGACTTAGCTGATTTTGAATCTAAGGTCTTTAACCTATAGCTTTATACTGTTATTTAAGTTAGTCCCTACTTCATCAAAGGAAATGAGTGCTGAAGGGGTATGTGGTGGGGATCAAAGAGGGAGTAAAATTGCTGAGATTTAACTGAACTGCAGAAGTGTCCTCTGCTGACATGTCAGTTACTGAGACAGAGCAAATAATTGTTTCTCATCGTTGCTCTTGACTCTATGAACTTCTGACTCTTGAGGCAGAGAGCTGTGCTTCACTCTGTTTTGTGGGGTGATGGTGGTGACATCCTCCCTACACCTCGTGCCGCAGAGCGTCTCTACAGCGTCTGCAGGTGCTCCCATGGAAGCTTTATCCATCCTTGGTGGATCTGCCTCTGGGCAATGGGGTGGTCTGGGTGTCCATTCTTCTATCCTTTTTAGCTCTGATTTTTACCATAGTCCCATGTCCTTCTCTTTCCCCCAAAAAATGTTTAGACAGATTCCATTATTTTGAAGAATGTTTCTCTGAAATAAGGTGTCAATTATTGTGTAATTTTCCCTTTAGTGGAGATTACTCTTTTCTCTGTGAAGCACTATTATATTTTGACCTGTCTGGCAAGGCAGAAATGAACTACGTGTATGCTTTTTTCCCCTTCATGAACTTCTTTAAAGATATTTTCTTGACACATCAGTGCCATCATAGATTAATAAAAATGGGAGGGGGGGAAAGTTCCTCTTTAGACATTTGGAATTTTAAATTCATTCAGATGAAGATCTGTCTTCATATTAAATTGAATATATGTTTCACACATGCTATAGCTCTGCACATCTCTGAAGTAAGTAGGGAATCTTTTTCTGAAAGCATAACAACCTAATAATGAAAATAAAATGTAAGGTGTATAGAATCACTACAGTTAGGAATATTCTTCTGAAAAAATTCCTATTTTTTAATAGTAAGAATAATACCAATTGCGAAATAGATCTCTTCTGTGTAAGTAGTGCTTTTATAAGTGTGTTTTGGCCTACTGCATTTTCATCCTGTAGAAGCAGAGGCAAACTATATGCTTCTAGGAATGGAAGGAACCTTTTAACATTTTTAATAGCCTACTTTTTCTTAAGAAAGCAATTTTATATAAATATGAAGTCCTTTTAAAAAAAATCTTATTCAGGTTTTGCCACCCTTGAAATGTTCACTCTTTTCCTAGCTGTGAGTACATTTAAGGATAATCTTTTCAACTCTTCAGATGTTTAAAAACATTCCATGTTTAGCAAAATTATGTAGACTCTTCACTAGATGAGAAAATGCAAATATTTGGGTGTAAATAATCCCACCAAATTTTAGGCACTCTGAAGAGAATTAGGAACATAACAAGAAAGCAAGATTGCCAGAGGTGATTTGGACTCCTAACTATTACATTTATTTCTTTGCCCATTGCAAAGGGAGTGGAGATGACCTCCTGTGTAGCTTATGTGTCTGAGTTATGTTCCTGAAATTTAGTGGGACTAATCTGGGTTGTTGATTAAATTAGTTTTTCAGAATATATTTCCTTAGGATTTGGAAATATTCATGAGGATATGCTCTAAATTCCTATGAACTATTACCTGTTTATTACTTTTGTTAAATAAATGCAGAGCTAATTTCATGCAGTTTGTAGGTATTGTATAGCTAAAAAACAACAGAGCATCTCCTTTCCCTGTAGTGCAGAGGGTACTAATTGGAAGTAACAATGTGTGTTTTGTTCCTAGTGTTTACATGAAGCTATGAAACAGGCTGATATATATCTGAGTAAAAGTTGTAGTTCCTATATCGTTTGAATCTTGGGATGTGATAAAGTGTTTCTTCTCCTTGTGTAGAATGTTGAAATTATTTTAGTATCTGTTCTGACTGGAGTTATGGTTCCTGTGTTTTTGATTAATTTTCCTAAATTTAATTAAATTTAAATCACCTCTGCTGCTTTCAAGGTTAAATTAAGTAAAGAAGTATTGCATTTCTTTTATTAACGGAAGAATAAATAAATCCCCAGATAAAGCAGAGATAGATTCTTCAAGAAGGAGCATGGGCAGGGGACTCTTTCCTTGGAAATAATAGTCTCATTCTTTGAGAGAGACTTTCCAGAGGAATGGAGGACTACTGTAGGGCTTACCAAGAGAACTTGAATGTATTTGGTTTGTAGAAGTTTTTTTTAAGGCAGTAATAGTAGTAAAGATTTTTAAATTCTTTTTCTTGGCTACAGTATGGTTAAATAATTAATCTACATTATTTTAGCAGCTGTAGGCTGCTTCCACTGCTGTGTAGACAGACCTTAGTTACTGTACTTCAGCAGTACAATAGCAAAAAAACCAATTATAATAACCAGCAGCAACAATTTCCAAAATACCTACGTGCAGATGACTTCCCACTTTAAATGTAGCGCTACCAGTTCTTTGAGATAACTTGATGTTTCCAGATGATCCGGTGTGCTCCTTGAATTTTACCTGAGGTAGATAAAAGGCTATTTTTGCTTTCTTGTAACTTGCAAATATTTTACTATCCATTAGTTATTAAACTATCAGCTATGGAGTTAACTGGGAGAAGATCAGTTCCTTCAATGATATCAGTAGGTTTTCATGGCATCTTTGAAACATGTTTAAAATGAATCAGTTTATGAGTTCAGATGATCAACCTGCATTACATCCAACAAAACAAATAAAAAAAGAATTATGTTTAAGGTAGAAATCTATTTGCAATTAAAGATGAGGAACTTCTGCATATATACAGATGCCAAAGACTTAGTTCAGTAGCTTTACATTCTGTAGTGGTTCTTTTCTGTCCTGAAGTTATACTTCTTTTCTCTCAGCTGAGTAACTATATCTCAGCTACAAAACCAGTAATTTCATTGATTATTTCTTTAATGTGCCCACTGTTAATATTTAGGCAACCTAGTGGGAGAGTGCAGACATGCTGTCAGATATCATGCTGGGAAAGTTTGTACACATGCAGATATGCATGTCTTGTGAGTGTGCACTGATATACATTTTAAGGCCTGTCATTGTTATTAATCATTTGTATTGCACCAATAATGTACAAAGTGCAATCTCTATATATGTAGATCCTATTCTTATTTTTTATTAGCATATCTAGTCATTTATAGTAAGTTTCTATTTTATTAATGTAATTTCTTCAATTTTTTTTAACTGGTGTAGAAAATGCTATGTATACATCAAGAACAGTGAATTGGGATTTAAAGTGTAGCCAGACCTCAAGTGGACGTTTAGGACTGGTTTTTATCTCACCAAATGCTATTGACAGTTAGAGGTTATAATAAGCAATTTATCAGCCACTGCTTAAGAGTAAAAGAAGAGAGGAACAAAGTGTTTTTCTGAATGTGTAATTTTCAAAGGTGAATTACTAGAGGGAAGGCCAAAGGGGGTGAAAAAATAGTGAACGGTACCACACAAACAAAGATGTCTTTTAATCTTGTAGCATCTCTGAAGCAGAAGTAAACAAAAAATCATTGGGGCCTCGCTTTGTTTTCTTAAGACCATCTTTTATAAAAGCTTGAAAGTTGAGGACAGCTCACATTGCTTTCATATTATCTGAAATTACTTGTCAAGTATTTTCAGTAAAAGCAGTGATAAGCTCCTTTACATGTTTTTTTAAATGGTTGTGTAGTCATTAAAACTTCAGGGATTTGAAGGCTTGGGATGCATGATGCAGCGTGGTATGCTGCCTACCCCTTTGGTTTGGCAAAGAAATACAGGAGGAACCTCCAGAAGATCCTCCATTTGCTGCTGTCAGAAGCAGCAAAGGGGTCAGAGACCTGAGTGTAAATTTCTTTTACAGTAAAGATGACCAATTACTGTAGGATGACCACTCCTATTTTAAATGGGGAAGATTAGTTTTGTAACTCAGCAAAGGTTTCAGGCTTTTTTTTATCAAAAAATGGTTAGAAAGTTGCATTGAAAACCACTCCTACAGCAAAGTTCATAAATAATAAATATTACCTCTTATTAATCCATATTTTAGTTTAAATCTACCTCATGGCAAGTTGCCCAAGAATGTGGGATTCTTTACAAGAGAAGGTGATGAGCCATAGTCCCCAAGGAATTAAATTGTGAAAACAATCTCAGTTTCAAACATGATAGTATAGACCTGTTATTCCCTTTCCACATCTATCACAACACATTCTAAATTGTGGCTGATCTTCTATGCAAATAGCTGTCTTATTAGACACTGGGCTCTGTGTGCCAGTGTCTCCATGGGTTTCTCAGGCATTTGCTATGTAACCATCAAAACAGTGGGAATGAATGATGATTATTGCATCCCTTTGAAGAACAAAGAGGACTCAAGCTTCTAGATGCCAGAGTTGGTGACACTGAGCCACACAGGCAAATGCCAGTTTCTCTGTGGCTTAAGTCAGGAAATAATCTTTGCCTGTGTTTTCTTCTTCTGTTTTATTGGCATTGCTAAAACTGCAAACATCTTTCACAGCTGATGTTTTGTTATAAACCATTAGTAGACTATGGAAATGGCAAAAGGCAAGTCAAAACAGTCTCTTAGCAGTGCCATAAAAGAGCCAAGATCTAGTTTTGCAGTGTAAAAATGTATCTGTTACCTCCTCAGTTAGCTGAAAGTTCAAATTGTACTTTTATTTTTCCATTCTAATTATTATGATGTGAATGTTATGAAATACAACCCAGTCCTGTGAAGAATAATAGAAGAACAGATAAATATAAAATAATAAACTTTATGGTGTTAAAATGCACAAATAACTGGGCATCATTTCTGCAGCTATATTTTAAATCATGTTTGAGGCTATGGAGAAAATAAATGGTGGTTGCTTTAAATTTGGGATGCTGGCAGTAGTGTTCAGCAGTGCCATGGCATGCTTTTTGGGCCGTGATTTGGCATTTCAGTGCCTTCCAGGGTTGCACTTCCCAGAAAGTGTGCCTTGGCAGCAACCAGGGACTCTTGTCTTGCTGTAGCGCAGCTGGTTATGCCTAACAGAAAAGTGCAACTCTTGCAGATAACTCCATGGCCATATGTGCACAATCTGCACATGGTTTGTGGCTACCCAGCATGATTCAGCCAAAGTTTGCCCTTGGCATGCTTCTCACCAGGGCCAGTTGGGAAAAGGCAGGGGTTGGCTGCTGTGCATCTTCAGTGCTTGAACAGTAATCTGACACTTCTTGAAAACATCAGACCCCTCATGAGTGTGGGTGTTTATGTTGGGACTCTTGTGTTGTAGAGGCAGTCAGATGGTGGGGCTTATCGTCACTGTGGTGAGTAATGTCTTCAGCCCAGCTAAAATGGTTTGATCCCAGTGTTTTGAGCAATAAGCATGACTGTAACAGCCAGTTATTTCATAACCAGGGAAAAAGAGGTGAAATGAGTGTGTTTGTAGTATCTGCCACTTGAGAGGCAGCTCTGTGAGGGATGAATATAAAATCGTAAGGTTTTGCATGTTAAAAGATACATAAGGAATTTACTAGAGCAGTGTTCAGATTATGCTTGTTCAGTTACACGAATGGTGTGGAAGCGCCAGTATACCAGAAGGAACATCTTTGTATGGATGATTATGCAGTTCCTTGTGCAGTCCTAGTGTCACCTCCTTGTGAGGATGTGCAACATGGCTGTGCAACACGAGAATCCCATTCAAGAATCTGGCTGCTTGTTAATGAAATGCAATGAAGGTAATTTAAACTATCAATACCATGCCTGAGAGGTGTAAAATGCATACAGCCCCAGCTTTCAGCTTTTGTTCTCCATTTCCTATTCATTCACAGATATCTAGAGCCCATGGCAGGAAAATAGGAGAGAGTGGGGTTGCTGTGTTTTAGGTATCTGCTTGTCTGCAGGTGGTTTTCCTGAGCAATTTCACCTGTGGATGCACACAGCCTAATCCTGCCTCCGACTCCTAAGTGTGGTGTAAATGTATTTTCAATAATGGAAACAGCTCACAATACTACATTCATTCCCTGGTTTATTAAAGAAATAAATTATATAGGAATGTAATTGGTGGTACCAAATGCTGAATTACAGTGGTACCAAATGCTGAATTACAGTGCAATCAGTTTAAATCCTTTCTTTTTTCTTTATTTTCATTCAAACTAACAGGCATTCTGTAATGTTAATAACCCATGCAATGGAGAAAAAGGTATGTTTAGAATGTATCTAATAGTCTTCAGAATAGTGATGATTAACTCCAGTGTCTCATTGTACTCTGGGAAGGCTTATGTCTTTGTGTGTAATCATGTAAATGTTGCTTGTTACCATTTTTCTGATGTTATAAGCAATTGATTTTGTTAGTAATTTATTTAGGAATAATGTTGTGGTTTTTGTTTTAGTTTTTTGTTTTGTTTTGTTTTGTTTTTTCCTGATACTGACAGTGATTTTTGGATTGAAAACAATGGGTAGAAAAGATGCCTCCACATCAAGGACTCCTGTTGACCAGTACAGGAAACAAATAGGTAAGAGTTTGAAAGAAAAGTTTGTGTGCTTAAAATAAAAACAAAACTTTTTTTTTCCCCAGCAAGGCCCACTAGTAACAAAACGTAGCATTCCTCTTTGAAAACTTCATTTTATAAATGCTGTTGATTAAGTCATTCAGCTTTCTGAAGACAGTATTTTGAGTGACTTCAGATAAAGTATATGCTGTGTGTTTGGAAACACTAGTGAAATACTGCAGCAAAATGGCTTCACAATGTTTCTGACCTGTTGGAACTTTCCTGATTCTCCTGTTTGTCTTTAATTTCATATATGGGCATTTCTAACGAGATACTTTCCTCATTCATAACAAATTTTGATACACTGAATGTTACAGACCTTTGCATTGTATAACTGTATTTATTCTCACACTAATGAATCTATTAAACATGTTAATTTTTTTCCTTAGGACTTTTTCTATCCTTGACTAATACTTATTGAGGTAACACGTATACAAAGTATGTACATGCACACATGTACCTTCATATAGATACATTGCAAATGCAAATCCCTCTTTCTTTGCTTAAATGCAAAGGTGAGTTATTTTTGAAATCCATATATGAAGATTCTGTCTCTGTATGTTAAATAATATAAAAGAGTCACAGTATTTTGAAAGCTTATATATAAAATGAAATACTTTAATCGGTACACAGTTATTTAAGTAAATGACTTTGTTTTACAGTTGCTAAGCACACACATCTGTTTAAATATGCAGAAAACAAGTGTCTGGGGGAAAAAAGGTTGTTTACAATGTACATTCTCAAGATGAAAGAGCTAGGGTTGTGGGGGGACATTCATAGTAAACTCATTTTCTTTAGATGTGACACATTGCTCTTAAGTTGGTGAAAGCAAGTGTTAAAATTATTGTAGGGAAGAATCTCATGCTGGCAGGCAAATAAACTACATAACTTAGGAGGTGTTTCTGTGGTTGTAATACTCCTTAGAAGACAGAGAGCATGAATGGACTGTGCTCTGCCTTTTGCTCTGATAATGGTTGTTTCAGCTCCTACTCTGGTCATTCACTGATACCACTATAGCGTTTGCCAATGGAAATCAGTTCTCTGAACTTAATTAATGTAAGAGGGTGAGTTTGAAAATGTGTGGATATGATTTAAAACTCAAGTTTTGCAGGTATGTTTGAGTTTTATGTGTAACCATGTTGGGCTATCTTTTGTCCTTGTAGCTGAGCTTGGTGGAGTGAGCCCTCTAGTCTCATTATGCCATTAGGTGTATTATAGGACAAATAGGTGTATTATTGACAAATCTAATCCAATATTTCCCTAATGAATATAAAAGTGCTGTTGTTTTCTGGGTTCTAGTGCTTTTTTTTGTCATTACTGCTTGATTTTTTTGTTCTTATATAGTTTTGCATAACTGGTAATAATTCATCCATTAGTCACAGGATGGTTAAGGTTGACAGGGACCAGTGGAGGTCATCTCATCCATCTGCCCTGCTTAAGCAGGGCCACCTAGAGCTGGTTGCCCAGATCAGTGTTCAGATGTTTTTTAAATATCTCCAAGTATAGGAATTCCACAACCTCTCTTCCTGTATTTGACTATCTTCAAAGTAGAAGGTTTTTTTCTTACGTGTTTCTGGGTGTGCCCGTTGCTAGTCCTGTGACAGAGCACCACTGAGAAGAGCCTGGCTCTGTCCTCTTTGCACCCTCCCTTCAAGTATTTCTATACACTGATGAAATCCTCTTTGAACCTATTCTTTTCTCCTAGGTAAGTACTCTCAGATCTCTCAGTCTTCCCTCATAGGAGAAATGCTCTAGATTCCTCATTTTAACTCTTCCTGATTCTTCTTGGCCTATCATTAGAAATTACACAGAAAGATTTTTTTTTTAATGCAGTCATTCTTTAAGACTTAGATTGGACACTTAGGTACTTTTGCAGGGATGTTTTAGTGTTAAGCTGTTCAACAGATGATCCCTCAGAACGCAGAGCACCCTAATGCTACAGGCTCAATTGTTTTGGAGATGGACATTTGGTCACCTTTTCTAAGGTAGATTATATCTAGAACAGTAAGCAAAGTGAGGCTGCACAGGGTCTGTCTTTAAAAAAAATAATTCATCAAATGCATTTAAAGCTCAAATTCCATGCTTGGAGTGATTACTGGCCTTCTTTTCCAGGCATTTGGTATCTATGGGTTGTTGAAAACATTATGATAGATGCTGGCTGAACAGCTGTTTCCTCCTGACTAATGGTGTGATGTTATTTTTTAGCTTACAACTTAATGTTTTCTAGCCTTGCTGGATAGAAGGTAACCAGATTGAAACGTTTTTCATACCTTTTTTTTGATGGAAAATGGCAGCCTTCAAGGAACAACATGTCACAAAGTCATATCAACTTCCAACACAATTTTCAGTTAGATGTTTAGTGGAGTAATTTGAAATAGAAGCAGATTTTTAATTTCATTTTGTTCCAAGCTTTCTGTTTTGTTCTGAGTTTCCATACGGCGTGCCACATGTTTGCCCTGTGCCATGGTTCAAGTTCATGTTGATTACTTCAGTTCAGCCGTTTGCCTTTTTCTCTTCTCCATGAGAACAGGATCACTCGTGTTTTGTTTGCCTCTGTGCCACTAGCAGTTGCTGTTTGCTTCAGTAGCATTTTCAGAGGATTCCCCCAGCACAGAGATTGATACTGTTCTTCCCTGTCAGCTGGCTTTCAGCCATCTCTCCTGACACCAGCCAAAATTTGTCTGTAGTGCCACTTAAGCTGGTGCTCCAGTATCTGACAGTGGCACTGCCTTCTCAGTGGGGAGCAGACAGTCTTCTAGTTATTTCAGACCAAAGTGGCAATGGCTTTGTGAAGCCTAGCCCCAGGTGGACAGGGGACAACCACAGCAACCTTTTAGAACTGGCTTTAGCTGTACCTGGAGGAGGGAGGATGGCACCAAGGGATCTCTCCCTGTTCAAATCTCCATGAGCAGCCAAGGCTGTAGAAGATACCATGAGGAAAAGTAATTTTAACACTTCTTGCTCATCTCTCACTCACATACCCAAACATGTACCTGTAGTGCAGCAGCAAACAGGGAAGCTCTTCTGCAGAGTGTTTCCTTATCCCTGCTGCTGTTTGTGCTGCTGTGCTTAATTTGCTGGAATCTGAGGAAAGGTGTGAGGCAGTATGCATCCTTCTGCATTTATGCAGCTTAGCTCCACAAATGCTGTGAAAATAGCAACAGGTTTTGTACCATATTTGCTTTGTTTACTGTTATGTGTGCTTTAAGTTCCCAGAACAATTCCACATGTATATTTTCCATCCTTCTTCATCTGGTGTGTCACTTGCTCGGCATGGAAGCTGCAGGATTTGTGGGTAGTGTTCATGACTTGTGTGATTGTGGGATCCTAAGCAGGCATACTGAGAGGATTATAGCATAACTAAAACCTGGTCTACAAATCAGGAATAGACATACTTTTGGCTCCCATTACTATTGTGTTGCTGTAGCATAATTTTTCATGAGGAGAGGTTGTTTGCCAATCATTCAACCTTCAATTTGTAGACTCAAAGGTCTGCCTATTGTCTGTTCTATATCTCCTGACTTGCCAGCTTGATCTGGAGCTTATACAGGCATAGCCTGGAGGTTCTTTGGAGCAAATAAGGCTCCTCACATCCCCTGGGAAGGAATAAAAGTTATGAATGAACATATGTTCTCTTTTTGCTTTGGAAAGCACAAAGCTACTCACTTTGGTGAGTGAGCGCGGTGACTTGGTGATGGAGGTGGTGTTCATTGGCATCACATATGGGGAGCCATGGGGCAGGGAAGGGGACTGGGTAGGAGTCCTGAGTCCTGCTGTGGTAGCGCAGGAGAGAGAGCAGTGCCCACCTGAACTAACAGATAAAACTTTGTGGGTAAAGCTGGGCCTTTGTAGCACACAGTTTGTGGTATTTAGGAGTGGGGCTGCAGCCAGCCTCATCCCCAGTGGGCTGCAGCTGGGAAAAGCAGGTGAACAGAATTGAAAGCAGTGAGCCATGGAGTGCTGAGATGCACTGACCAATCACCAAGAGGAACAGAAGGCACACAGGTACGATGCATGTAAGGTGAAAGTATAAAAGCTTGGGCTAAAGAACAAGAAGGGCAGATGCTTGAAGCTTTCTGAAGTGTTTGATGTTACTCTGTATGGGCAGGTGCTTAAAGGCATCTGAAATTGCATGGTAATGTTAGTCTGTGTATCGTGAACGTCTTAGCTGTGATGTGTGCTGTGACATATGTCCGTGGTGTGGAGACCAGTGACCTGTCCAGAAGAAAAGTGCCTCATCCTAGGGCTGAGGCTGTGATGTTACTGTAGCCCTGAGATGGAGAAGAGCTTGGGGACTAGTGGCAGCACAAACATCTCTGGGGCTCCCACCTCCAGCTACCAGCTGGAGCATGGACCTGTTGTCTCCAGAGAGAAGCCCTTCTTGTGGCAGATTGCCATTTCTACCTACCCTACTGATAAAGAGTTGTCTTTACTCTTACCACTTCAACTTTTCTGCTTTCTTTTACTGTTTACCTTCTCTGTGTTTTTATGGACATAGTGTGCCTCTATCTTCCTTGTCCTGAGTAGTGCTACTGAATACTCAAAAAAACCTGGCCACTATCATCCTTCCTTTTCAGCTTTAAAAGAGGGAAAATGTTACATTTTGATACTTTTATTTGAAATATGTTGCATACTTTGACATGAAATGCGGTTGTTTTGGATCAGGAAATGCTTATCAGAATGAAAATTTGAGATATAATTTCTGAAATAATAGCAACAGCCAAAAATGTTTGGACATTTTTGAATTTGTACTGAAAATTTCAAAATTCCCTATTTCTCACAAAACAGCAATTCCCCTATCTTTTGTCTGTTAAGAAAAGTCATGGAACCAAGAAGGCAACATCTACATCATTGAGATTGCTCTCCTCTGCCATAAGCAAAGATGTAGCAGGACAGATGTCAATGGAATAAAACTTCTCCAGTCTATTTTTTGAACTAGTCATATTTTTTTTCCCTTTTTTAAT